ATGGTTCCGTTAAAAAAGGTTGTGAACTCCTTTTAAACACGTTGAAAGCTGTGGGTCCACTCCCCAGAAAAAAACACAAATACACACAGAATTCAGATTCTCGGAAGACCATTTTTGGTTCACACAGCCAAAAGTGAAAAGCTGATATTCTAAACCAGAGTTGTCTAGTTTTAGAACTGAGTTCAATACATTACTATATCCTGATGCTTCCACAAAAGCCCTTCAGACAAATAATTAAAAAAAAAAAGCCTAATGGGTCACATTTTATATGGTTATATCTTGAATATTGACATTAGTTTTTAAAAAATGTGTATTTTAAATGTTCCATTTCTTCTTCCTTAACTGGTTAACACAAAACATATTTCTCAGAAAAGTGAAGAAATGGTCAAGCTAACGAGTTTTAGGACAGAAAAATAGGGCATTTTGTTATTCTAAAAGGCATTTCTTCTCCCTCATCTCTTTAGTTCTCAATATATAAAAATAATTAACCTTTGTTGAAAATTCAAATATAAGAAACCAGTTCAAATATCTGATGTTTTAATACAAAAAAAAACATCCGAAATTAAGTTTTGGGCTTCCACAGTGGGTCAGATGGTAAAGAGTCTGCCTGCAATGCGGGAGACTCAGGTTCGATTCCTGAGTTGGGAAGATCCTCTGGCGAAGAAAATGGCAACCCACGCCAGTATTCTTGCCTGGAGAATTCCAACATTCAAAATAGTCCCTTTAATCTTTTCAAAATGACAAACCCATTTTCAGTTCTCTGTAACTCTTAAAAAGGGTCATTTGTCTAAATCCACAGAATATACAACAGACCAAGAGTGAACCTTAATGTACAACTCTAGACTTTGGGTAATGGTATATCAATGTAGGTTCACTGATTGTAACAAATGTACCTTTTTGGTGTGGGGATTTTGATAGTGGGGGAGACTGTGCATACATGGGGCAAAGCAGGGGGCATATGAGGGCAGAGGGTATATGAAATCTCTGTTCCCCTTCTTAATTTGTTATAAACCTAAAATTGCTCTAAATGTAAAGTATTTTGATAAAGGGTGTGGGATCTAATATATCTACTTCACTTTCTTCTTAACAAATAAGGAAATAGTGTTTTTAAAAATTACCCTCAGCAGCTGTGAATTAAATTTCCTGCCAGGACACAGAATGTGCAATTATTACAGAATAGATTACAAAACCATCATTCAAAAAGACACATGTACCCCAATGTTCACTGCAGCACTATTTACAACAGCCAGGACATGGAAGCAACCTAAATGTCCATCGACATATGAACGGATATGAAGATGTGATACATATGTACAATGGAATATTACTCAGTCATAAAAAGGAACAAAGTTGGGTCATTTGTAAAGATGTAGATGAACCGAGAGTCTGTCATACAGTGTTCTCATTCTGACAACTCAGAAAGAGAACAAATATTGTATATTAACACATGTATGTGGAACCTAGAAAAACAATACAGATGAACTTATTAGCCGGGCAGGAATAGAGACCCAGAACATAGGAAACAGACATGTGGACACACAGAGGGGGAGAGGAGGGTGGGATGAATTGAGAGAGTAGCACTAACACATATATACTACATGTATCAATAGCTAGTGGGAAGCTATTATACAGCACAGTAAGCCTGGCAATGACCCAGATGGATGGGACGGGGGTGGGGCTTGGAGGCAGGTCCAAGAGGGAGGAGATATATGCATACACATACCTGACTCACTTCGTTGTACAACAAACTAACACACACTGTAAAGCTATTACACTCCATTTTTTTTTTCTTAAAGGGGTAATGAACTCCTTTTAAACATATGTTGAAAGCTGTGGGTCTTCTCTCCAGAAAAACAGAAACATACAGAGAATCCACAGAATCTTGGAAGACCATTTATGGGTACATCCATAGATCCAGGTTAAGAACCAGAGAAAGTAGAAATTCTCTCTTCCCTCTGACCCTCTTCCATAATTTTTCCTCTAACTCACAAAAACCAACTAAATTATTCAGACAATGAATCCTCTTGTATAGCCTTTAAAAAAAGTTTCATAGTACTTACATAAGCAGTTTTCAACAAAAAAATCAACTGACAGCATTCTAAAATACAGCATGTGACTAATGATATCAATAAATCAGAGTGCCTTACAGTTTCTAAAATGACTTCAACTATTGTAAAAACTAATATTTTACCCCCTTTTACATTTAAAGAAATAGGTTCAGAAAATAACATGCCATGGGCACACAGCCAACAAATTAAGAGCTGGTATTCTAACCCAGAACTGTCTAGTTCCAGCTCATTATTACATTTTGATGCTTCCACAAAAGCCTTTCAGACAAAGAAAACAGATCAAAAAAAAAAAAAAAGCCTAATGGGTCACATTTTAGTGTAGTTATATCCTGAACACTGAACTCAGTTTAAAAAAAAAGGATATTTTAATTTGACTATGCTGGGTCTCAATTGCAATATGTGGGATCTTTGGAGGCAACATTTGAACTCTTTGTTGCAGCATGTGGGATCTAATTCCCTGACCAGGGATCAATCTTGGACTCCCTGCCTTGGGAGCGCAGACACAGTCCTAGCCATTGGACTACCAAGGAAGTCCCAAAATGTCTATTCTAAATGTTCCATTTCCTCTTCCTTCATTGGTTAACATAAAACATGTTTTTCAGAACAGTGAAGAAATGGTCAAGCTAATGAGTTTTAGGACTGAAAAACATGACATGTTGTTAATTCTACGAGGTATTTCTTCTTCCTCATCTCTTTAGTTCTTAATACATAAATATAATTAACCTTTGTTGGAAATGCAAATATAACAAACCAGTTTAGAAATCCAAGGTTTCAAAACATAAAATTCTTGAAATTAATTTTCAGGACATTCAAAATAGCCCTTTTAATCTTTTCAAAATGACAAACCCATTTTCAGTTCTCTACAACTCTTAAAAGAGTTCTTGATTTTCTGGAAAGGTCGTTTGTCTAAATCCACAGAATATACAGTAGACACCAAGAGTGAACCTTAATGTAAACTCCGGACTTGGGGTAATGCTAATCAATGTAGGTTACTGACTGTAACAAATTTACCTTTTTGGTGTAGGGATTTTGATAGTGGGGGAGACTGTGCTTACATGGGGCAAGGCAGGAGCATATGAGGACAGAGGATTTATGAGAAATCTCTGTTCCTCCCACTTAAATTTGCTATGAACCTAAAATTGCTCTAAATATAAATTACTTTGATAAAGGGTATGGGGTCTAATATATCTACCTCACTTTCTTCTTAACAAGTAAGGAAATAGTGTTATTAAAACTTACCCTCAGTGGCTGTGAATTAAATCTCCTGCCAGGATACAGAATGTGCAATTATCACAAAATATATTACCATCTTAGAAAATAATACTGATCTTATCAAATGTTAAAAGAATTAGCAGCTTTATAAAGAATCTAGAGAAATGATACTGATGGTCCTATTTACAGGGCAGGAATAGAGACACAGACATAGAGAACAGACTTGTGGACAGAGGCCGGGAAGAAAGGTGTGGGATGAATCAAGAACAGCACTGACAAATAACACACTATCAAGTGTAAAATAGCTAGTTAGTAGGAAGCTGCTTTAAAGCACAGGAAACTCAGCTAAATGCTCTGTGATGACCTAGAGGGGTGGGAGGGAGGGGATATATGCATACTTATAGCTGATTTCACATTGCTATACAGCAGAAACTAACATAATGTTGTAAAGCAATTATTGTTTTTCAGTCAGTAAGTCGTGTCAGACTCTTGTGTGACCCCAGGAAGCCCACCAGGCTCCTCTGTCCATGGGATTTCCCAGAGAATACTGAAGTGGGTTGCCACTTCCTTCTCTAGGGATCTTCCCCACCCAGGGATGGAACCCAGGCCTCCTGCATTGCAGGCAGATTCTTTAACCGATGAGACATCAGGAAGGCCCCAAAGCAATTATACTCCAAATAAAAATAAATTTTTTAAAAAAAGATTTTAAAAGTATTGGCAGCTTAAAATGTTAATATGAAGTTAAATGCAACAGCTGAGTATGGTATCCTAAAATTTCTTTTGATATTTATTTCTGTTCATACTCTCTGTATCTTAAAGGCGATATATACAGTGACTAAAAGTCTGAAGTAGGTCACGGGATGAGTGACAAAAGAATGGGTACTCATAGGGAGGAGGAGGAAAAGCAGCAACCAGTGAAATAAACCACCGCCTAGCTGAGGTCCTCTACTTACCCAAGACTACCCTCTGGCAGGATCAACACTGGAGGGAGACAGAGGAAGAGAATTTCCTCAGTCTACGAGAAGGACACCAACAGTCCAACAATTAATTAACCTCTACGGGGTGGGGGGGGGGGAATGCAAAGAAAGAAAAAGTGCAACCAGCAGATAAAGCACCTGTGTCAACCTAGCTTCCTGTAAGAACCTTTTGCCAAAGAATCCTCCCGAAGCAGTATAACATAAGCATAAGCTAAAAGGGCCAAGCATAGTTACGCTATTAATACAGACGAAAAAGAATTCTGAGAAAAAGTTCAATAGCCTACGAAAAGTCGCCCAATCCAACACTGCCAGGTGGGAAAACATACAAAACAAACAAACAAACAAACCTTTTCAAACTCAGGCAACCCAAACGCTAAGACTGTCAAATCCAGTCAAGGACCAGCCCTGGGCTAGAAAAAGGACGTAGATAAATCGCCTCTCGCAGGGAAACCAGCAGCCTAACGAACCCCAGAAGTGCGTGAGGAGGAGGAAAGAGCAGGCATCCCGGGATGTAAAACAACTCCACTGAGCAGTGGCGTGTTTGGAAAGAGGCTGCAGTTTCTGGTCTCATACTCCAAGGCACTCTTCAACCGGGGTGTTCCGCCCCCCGCCCTCCCGCCCCCGCAGAGTCTCCATCTGAGGTGAGCTGCAAGCCCCCAGCACCCGCCAGCCAGACCCCCGGGGCCATAAGGCTCGCCGGCAGGCCAGTCCCAAAGGCTAGACTAACCCTCCGGACGGACGGATGGCCAGCCAGTCCCCAGGGCTAGCATCCCGGACGGCGGCTGACCCCGACACCCGCGCCCGCCTCCCCGACCCTCGCGGGCGGCGCGTCCCTCACCACAGGGCCCCAGCCCGCCGGCCCGCCCCGCCCCCACATGCCGCCCTCGCCCGGACCCCGCGAAGCACCTGCCCGCCTGTCTCTTCTTCGAAAGACCCTGAGGAACGAGCCAGGCTGAGGGAGCCGGAGACCCGGGTTCCCTTCGAGGAACGCGTCTACCCCCACCCACCCCGCGCCTTGCCTCTCGCCACAAACGGGGAAGGGGGCGACAGAAACCGAACAGCGGCTGAAGGGGCCCAAAGCCTCCCGGCAGTGGAGTTTGGGTTCCTGGGTGCAGGACTCGGGGAGTTTCTCCGCCACAGGCGCGAGCCTCGGCGGCACTACGATTTGGGCTCGGGGCTGAGGTGAGGGAGGACTTGGCACGAGCGGACAGCACCGCACACAAAGGGAAGAGGGAGTGAGGGGGGCACGAGCGTCCGGTTACCTCAGTCCTCGGCTGGCTCCCTCCGCTCGGTTCCCCACCCCCGTCCCCGTCCCCGGCCTCGCCAAGGCTGCAGCCGCGCGGCCAGGTTCCCGCAGCCCGGAACGGCGCCGCACCGGCCCCGCGCGAGCACCCGACGGACGCGCGCCCCTGTGCGCGGCCTCGCCGAGCCCAGCCGGCGCCCGGCGTCCTCTCGCCCGCGCCTGCGCACAGCACTCTGGGTAGTGTGGTTTCCAATTACCTCCTCCTGGGGGACCGCCCCCGCCCCGAGTGCCCTCCGAGCCTGGCTCGGGCTCGGGCGCGGGCGGCGGGAGTTTTCACCCAGCTGAGGAGTGTTGTCCTGCCTGGTGCTGGCAGAACCGGGGCCTGGCTGGCGTCCTCAAAACACAGGTTTAGATAGGCCACCGCATGATTTACCTCCGAAGTTATCCGTTTCTTCTCTTTTGTGGCTGTGCCAGAAGTCCCGTCTCGCTCGTGGTGAAGGATCTTAGGGTTTCTGTCGTTTAAAGAAGGAAGAAAGGGACCTCTACTTTTGTTCCTGGCAATTTCTCCACAGGCTCTGCAAAAGAGATATAGTGATACAAAACACCTGGTGTTTATATAACTACTTATCCATAAGTAGTTGGTAAGACCAAGGAAGCAGTTGATCGACCTGAGCACTCACGGCTAAAAACCATTGCAAGTGAAAATGATGTTGAAATCAACTAATCTTTCAATAAAGTCAATGAAATGTTGGACGGGGTAGATGAGCGAGCAAAGAAAAAAAAAAAATCGAAGGCTAAAATGTTTCGTTAGAGCAATCTCTAGCCTTCACAACCCTAGGAATCTATTTCAGAATAAATTCAATCCTGGTACATTTATAAATATTAATACATAGGTTTCGATTGATTTAGCTAGAAAAGAACCTTTAGAAAAAAAAAATTGCATCTTATGTAAAAACCCCAAGGTAACTATTTGAAATTTCAATTCTGGGGGGCGGAAATCACTTTTCCATTTAAAAATAGCGGAAATAGAAATAAATCTTAGTACTTCAGAATATTTTTCTTCAGGACATTATGTTTTGAAATTTTAGTATGAACGAACAAAGAAAAGTGGAGCAAGACCAGTTTTAGTGTGCACACACACACAAAAAGAAATTGTAAAATTTGTCTGGAAGTATGATGTAATACTGTGTATTTAATAAGGCCATATTCTAATAAAAATTTTTTTATAATTTGAACTTTTTAATTGCACGTTCAGTGTCCCCTAAAAAATGCTTATAGAACTGCTTTTTTCACTTCTAATAGACATATAAAAAACTGTACTAACTACATCAAAGAAATCAACACAGTATTTCAATATGGTTTCCATTTATTTTTTCAAGAATATTTAGTGAGCACTTAGTATAACATACTCTGTGTAACATACACTGAGTTAAGAACTGGGAAATACATAGTGAACGAAACTGAATAGTTCCTACCCTTGTGGAGACGTAAGAGCTAGTGAAAGAGACAGAACTAAGCACATAATGACAAATAAAAAGTATACAAGGACTTCCCTGGTGGTCCAGTGGCTAAGACTCTGCCTTCACCTTGCAGAGCGCCCAGGTTCCATCCCTGGTCAGCACACTAGATCCCACATGTTGCAACTGAAAGATTCTGCATTCTGCAACTAAAACCCCCACACAGCCAAAGAAATATTTTTTTTTTTAAAAGAGGTATGCAGAGGGTTGGGCTTCCCAGGTGGCACTAGTGGTAAAGAACCTGCCAATGCAGGAGACGTTTAAGAGGCCTGGGGTTGGCTCCCTGGGTGGGGAAGATCCCCTGGAGGAAGGCATGACAACCTACTTCAGTATTCTTGCCTGGAGAATCCCATGGATAGAGGAGACTGGAGGGCTATGGTCCACAGGGTCACAAAGAGTCAGACACGACTGAAGCAACTTAGCACATGTGCATGCACATACAGAAGGTGGCAAGGGAAGTGGGGAGCATATAAGGTATACTAATCTAGAATTTTTTGTTGGGAGAGGGGCGGTCAGGCAAAAATGCAATGGTATTTTCAAATCAAATAACAATGAACTGGGGGAAAATCCTCCCCTTAAATGTGATATATCCATAACAATGCTCTCAAATAATTATTTTTAAAAATATCTTACTAAACAAGGTACATCTTGATGGGATTCAGAATGTGCTACCCCAAAACATAGCACCTTGACATACTAAATATCTTCAATATCCTTCAATATCTAAACTGAAGGAATCTGAAACAGCAAAAGCAGGAAGGTCTCTCCAACCCCCCAATCTTCTTCCCCAAAACTGGTCATCAAACTCCCATATAAAATGTACCCTCCCTATATCAGGAGAAAATTATAGACATTCATATTGCCAGAGATTGAATTTAGGGCTGAGAAATCTGTATAAACATACTTAAGCCAACTCTTTTCTTCCTAGTAATTCCTTTGCCATTTACTAACCCTAGACCAAACGCCACTGTCTTGTCAATTCTTCACAAATTTATTATTTGTCTGAAAAGTGAAAGTATTAGTCCTTCAATCATGTCTGACTCTTTGAGACCCTGTGAACTGTAGCCCTCCAGGCTCCTCTGTCCATAGGATTTCCCAGGCAAAATTACTGGAGTGGGTTGCCATTTCCTTCTCCAGGGGATCTTCTAAATCCAAAGATGGAACCTGAATCACCTGCATTGGCAGGCAGATTCTTTACCTCTGAGTCACCAGGGAAGCCCTCCCATATACATGTAAAAATTTGATAAAATTTGTATGCTTTTATCCTGTTAATTTGCCTTCATTTGCTTAATTTTCAGAGACCCTAGGAGAGTCAAGAAAAACTTTTTCCTCTGCTACAACCTCAATGAATGAAAAGATCACACATTTCCTAAATATGACCAAGATATCTTCTTAGCTTTATTCATTCCTCCCTAGCTCCGTTTCAGAATTAACAGAACTACTTAATAACCTAATTAATAAGAGACTTACTCATTAGAGACTCCTTCCTTTTCTAAAATTCCATGAATTAAAACTGATCTGACCTCTGTTGGTTCACTGTCTGTTGTACTTTGGTCCAAATAAATTACAATGTTTTAACCTCAATTGACATTTGCATTTTAAGTCTTTATCTCTAATCTGGAATGAAAGGCTTTATAATATCCAAAAGAATTTCAAATGTGGCCTGCCAAGCGATCTGGAAAGATTAATGAAGGGGACCATTTAATTTTCATTTGCAGTGGAGGCAAAGCTTTCAGTCACTGGGCAGTTCCCTGGACAGCTGTCTGACTATGAAAACTTCCTTGAATATCCTGAACAAGCAAGACAACACCTTCCTGTCCAGGTCAGAGTCACTGGCTTGCAGTGACCTTTCTTTCTAACCTTCCACTCCTATTAATATTTTATCACCCATTCCTCATCCAATCTTGACTGGGGTTTCAGCTCCATTTAACAACAATCAAGTCCTGCATTCTGCCCCACAAATGGTTGCATTTTCTGGCCTCAGTGCAGTGGCCTAACTTAACCTATTTTAACTACTTTGTGACAGTCCTTTCATCCATTACCCTTGCCCTTAATCTGATATAGGTATCTCGAAGCCTTTGCTGATCTTTTCCACCCCCATCTCTGAGATATTTAAGATTCCCTAATTTCTCTCTGGGCCTTTGAAATTGCTGGGCCTTCTGTCTCCCTCTTTGCCTGGTAAAGCCCTGCTTGCCTTTCAGTATCAACCCAGATATTGTTTTCGTCAGGAAGCATATCCTGGTTACAGTTCCCCTCCTTTGTTCTGTGTTAATGCTTTCTGTATATGCTCACATTACAACCTATTTTTGCTTCTCAAATAGCACTTATCAGTGAGCATTTTAATTAGGTAGCCTTTCATTTGTCTGATAGCTTCCTAAATAGAAATTAGGAACATAGTACTGGATATAAGATGGCTGATTAACAAATACTTAGAAAGTAAATGGATGCATATCAACTTTGGGCAGTAAGGAAAGTGTGGAAGTGAAACTCGCCCAGTCGGGTCCGTCTCTTTGTAACCCCATCGACTGTAGCCTAACCAGGCTCCTCTGTCCGTGGAATTCTCAAGGCCAGAACAGTGCAGTGGGTTGCCATCCCCTCCTCCAGGGGATCTTCCCAATCCAGGGATCAAACCCAGATAATCCGCATTGCAGACAGATTCTTTACCATCTGAAGCCACCAGGGAAGCCCAGGAATACTGGAGTTGGGTAGCCTATCCCTTCTCCAGGGGATCTTCCCGACCCAAGAATCAAACCGGGGTCTCCTGAATTATAGGCAGATTCTTTACCAGGTGAGCTAAAAGAAGGATCCTGCAAGTATTTTCTGTAAAGCAAGTATTTTAGCTTGTGGACCTTAAGGTCTCCATTGTGGCTACTCAACTCTGCTTCTTAAAGCATGATGGCTAATTCTCACTGGTGGTTCCATAATATCTATGTAATAAGGAATCTGAGTTCCTTGAATGACTTGACTGGAAGGAGTTGGGGTGGGGGTGGGTGCAGCTTCAGCTAGAGGGCATCACTTGAGGATATGTTTACACAGCAGCTACTGTGTTCTTGTTTAGAGTGATTATTTTGGGGTCGTTTGTGGGTGTGTCAACAGATGGAGCTAAAGCAAAAGGCATCTTTGGTATAGCCACTGCCAGTTTTGCACTAAATACTTTCTTTTGAAAATTATCTGTGTTGGTGAGTTTTTAAACTTGCGTTTGCCTCCTGCCCCCTACCACACACACACTTTTAACATTTCACTCTGGCTGTTCCATTCTGCCCAAGTCAGGTCACTTTCCATTTCCCCATGAACCTGCCTAGACATGGTCAAGCTTTCAAGCTGTCTTTGGGGGGAGCTGTGGAATCGTCTTTAATATGACAGGAACAGTTCGCCTCCATCCTACCACACTCCAGCTTCCTGATGGCTCAGCCTGTAAAGAATCTGCCTGCGGGAGACATAGGGGATCGTGTTCAATCCCGGAGTCAGGAAAGTTCCCTGGAGAAGGAAATGGCAACCCACTCCAGTATCCTTGCCTGTAAAATCTCATGGACAGAGAAGCGCGGTGGGCTACAGCCCAAAGTGTCACCAAGAGTGGGACGTGGCTGAGCAGCTAAATGCACACACACTGCCACACTCCAAAAGCCTCTTGACTTTATCAGAAAAACACATTTAGAGAAACTTTGTTTTCCAATGTTTGAAATGTGTGCAACACATTTCTGGGCCAAGTTGTATCCATATGTGTTGTAGAAAGTGGCACAGTAATACAAATGTAATAATTGTGTTTCAGTTCCAATACTATTCCAAGTGGCTGATCTCTATGAAAACTGCTGTAGATCTGTATTACATTAGCGTTCTGATATTATCTTCACATTCTCACAGAAATCTATGAAAGGTTTTTTTTTTAATTTTTAAAAAAA